ATAGTTGGTGGTGATATGAATATGTTCTGAAGAATTTAAATCCTCATATTCATGTAGTTTAAATTTAACTTAAAAATAGGAAATACTGAATGTCCTCAAGGTAAACCCAACCAAAGTGATTGCATCAAAAGTGCAAGAATGAATGGATTTTCACACACATACAAGCTGTTTCTTTTTTTCAATTTCCAGTTTATCCTATAAGACAATTACTTCCACATCTTGATATTTTTTTTAATTGTGGGACATAAAAAGGTTGCCAACTTTCTTATTTTGCTTTAAAATGCTATCTATTACGTGAAGAAGTTAACATTTGTAAGCTCCAGGTGGTGGGTTGTATTTGTGAGTTCACAATGCAATTCTTTACGCTTTCTCTGTTTCAAAGTTTGCATCAGAAAAGTAATGGGAAAACTAGTCACTGTCAATGCAAAGGACACACTCAAAATTTTCAAATGGATGAAGAAATTGGGGGAAACACCTGGTTTTTCCCAATTCTGGCTTTCAGGACTTTGTGGACAGGTGAACACTTCAGAAGGGACTGGGAATCATGGTGCAGGTCTCTTCCTCATGGCCAGGGCCCATGGGCTCCAATTTCTAATTGATCTCCATCTCTTTTTCCCTGAATGGAGGAGATGGGAAGCTGAGAAATATCCAGTGCCTTAAGATTTCTGTCCCATTTACAGGTTAGCCTAATGCATAAACAGTAGCTATGTGGTAACATATAGAAAGTCATTAGTTTGTACATCTATTTCCTACATCTGAAACTAACACTTTACACAAATAGACAGATAGCTTCTTGTATGTGCCTAAAATATTTTTTGGAAATACATTTGGAGCAAGAATGCTAGCATTACACTACAAGCATATGTTGCTAGACATATATGTAGCATGTGTTACGCTTACAGACACACAAACCTGCACACACCAGACCAACACTTTTGTTTCCTAAAGGACTAGACATAAAGAGGCTACTTCAGTAATAAACAGAAAACCAGGCACAAGTCACTATATACAACACTCCCTAAGCTTGTTACTTAAAATGACATAGAAGGGCCTCTCTGGTGGTGAACAGGGAAAAGTCTCAGCACTATCAAGCTATCGCCAGGCACTGCAGCATGAGTTCGATCCCCAGGCAGGGACCTGACCCACATGGTGCAGCAGACCTCTCCTGTCTTGCACACTGATTCCCCTCAGCAGTATATTTCAATAGATCTGCCTGTTCTGCTCCCCACTGTCTCTGGTGATTCTTCTCACCCACTGCACCTCTGGCTTGTACCCTAGTTCTTCTATGCATAACTAAATCTGCAAAATATATAAACAATAAAATAAAACTATATAGAAAACAAAGTACAGAGAAATACAGCTTTCTTTGCTGTGTCCTTGGGTAAGCTACTTAACCTCTCTGTGCCTGTTGCTCAACTGTAAAATGACTGTACGTCAACGACATAACAGAGGCTTGTTTTAGGCTAAATATGGCATAACTGACACATACACATGTACAAATAAAACCTGAAAATGTTAACCCTCTGGCTGGCAGAATTACTTATTTTCACCTTTTCTTCATCCAGTTTCCAAATGTTCTAAAGGGATTATGTGTTAATTTTATAACCTGGGGCAGAGGGGAAAAAACAATACTTTTAAAAGGTCAACCAGGAAGATATGACAAGGTGGTCTAATCATACAATGGAATATTATTCAGCCATGAAAGGAATGAAGCAAACACACACAGCGACATAGTTGAACTTTGAGGACATTATGCTGAGAGAAGCCAGACACAAAGTCTGCACAGGGTGTGATTCCAGTGAAAAACGTCCAGAACAGGCACATGTGCAGAGACAATGGCTCACCAGTTGTAGGGTTAGGGGACTGACAGCCCGTGGGGGCGGGATTTCCCTTGGGAATGTTCTGGATTAAATAAAATGTTTTGGATTTACATGGAATCTTCTGGAATGTTCAGCAAGTAGAAGGTGATGGTTGCACAACTATGTGAATACATTAAAAACCACTGAACTATATAAACTTTAAATGGGTGAACTTATGGCACTTGAAATAGCTCAGTAAAGCAGTTGCAAAAAAATTTAAAACTACCAGGAAAGAAATGTCTAATGTCACCATTTCTCAAGCGGTTTCAGGAGTTTGCTAATTTTTAACAATGACATTGTACTTAACTTTTTAAATGAGAGAAATGTTCCAAAAGTCAGCAAGCTCACCCATGGATATTTTAGTTCCCTTCATTCCTCATAACCAGGCATCATTCCTATTTTTATTCTAAGTTTATACCTGACATGTTTGAGTTATTTGTATACAACTCATCTATTAAAATTTACAATAAGAAGCATTCTTGATATACCCAGCTATGCAAAACCATTACCCAGTGTATCATCATCACTCCAAAAAGAAATCCCTTCAGTGACCACCTCCCACCTCACCATACACTCTGCCTCCAGATTAAGCAACCATTAATCTTCCTGTCCCTTCAGACCTGCATGGACATTATACAGGAAGGAAATCATAGCATCTATGTTCTTCTGTCACTATCTTCTCTCACTTAGCATCACGTTTACAAAGACACACTCTTTGACATGCCTTAAGGACCAAGAGTCAGACCTTTTTATCTGTTGACTCAACCAGATCTGCCCTCCTCATTACCTGACTATCAATTAAAGGGGCTGGTAATAGGTAGAGGTAAATATAGTTGACCTTGAACATGGGCCCACTTATAGGCTGATTTCTTATTAACAAATTTAACCAATGTTGATTTAATCTATGCATGCTTAACCATGGGAACACAGAGTGACTATTAAGTTGTACTCAGATGTCTTTACTGTGCAGGGGTAGGTACCCCTAAGCGGGGGTTGTTAAAGGGCCAAGCGTAATGGCAGCTACAGAATTCAGCACTATTGCCTTTGCTGGAGTGGATTTTTAAACATGCTTTATACTTGGCCTCTGACTTCTGCTGGAAATTGCACTTCATGCCCATAGTGCTCATACTCCTTGGTGTGTCCAATTTTCCCCTGGCCTGCAGGAAACCCCAGTCTAAGGTCAAGTGATTCTTTAGTTGGTTATTCTGGCTGGTGACACCCAGTGAGGCAGAGAACTGGAGCCTAACACAAACGTAAATGGAGACACCCCTGATGAGAACTGGTGACCCTCCCAGTTCTTAGATGAAAGTGAGGTCTGGCTTCACAGCTGTAGTTTGCTGTATTTTATAAATTCAGGAGCCCAACAGCTCCTCTGCATCTCACTGATCTCCAGGGGCTCGGGTTTCTCATCCATAAAGGGGAATGACAATGGCAGTTATTGTCAAGAGAAAATGAAATACAGTTGACTCCTGAGCCACATGAATTTGAACTGCAAGGGTCTACTTAGATGAGATTTTTTTTCTATCCCAGGCTCTACATTCACAGATTGAGCCAACCCCAGAAGTTGGCTGTTTGAACCCAAAGTTGTGAACGGGTAGATACCAAGGTCTGCCTGTAAGGGACCTGAGCGCCCTCAGATTTTGGCATCTACAGGAGCCCTGAAACACCCCAAATGACATCCGTAGTTATGTTTTGGGGTGGGGGAGTCAAAAGTTATACTCAGATTATGTGTGTGGGGTATCACAGCTCTTAACACCCCAAGGTGTTCGAATCAAGTGTAAGTACAGGAAAGACCAATGGACTACGAAGGTGATTTGCAAATAGGGAAGACGCAACTCAATACATCTGTAAAAAACATTTATTTTGAGAATCTAAAATCTGGACAAAGAACATTGAACTTATTAGAAAAAGCCTACACAGGATTTTGTTGTCTCTTCCTAATACATTAACAATCTAATAAGGAAAAAAAAAGTTTAAAATATGTTGCTCCAGTTTGTCTGCAGTTATGTGATTTAAAATATCCCTGTTCTATTGAGGTATAAGCTGCAAACTTTGGTAAAGTTAGAAAAATTTTAAAAATCCATCCCCCAAAAAAACAAAAACAAACAACCAAACCCTAAGTTATATAGCTTTCTTGGTACATATACAGTAACTACAAAAAAAATATTTCATTTAAAAAGTGTTCCTTAAAAAGAAAAAAAAAAATCCCCTCTTGTAAAATCTCAATTGGTGGGTTGGAAATTCAATTATTAAAGGATCGACTAAACTCAAGCCATCCCCGAATCCTCACCCAGTATTGGGAAGAACTTGGTTGACCAGCTTTATAATCTGGTTGGCATTTTCAAAAATTCAGTGCTTAAAAAAAAAAAAAAAAGGGCCCCATGTTTAGAAAAAAAGAAAGAACCCAAGGCACTTGAACATGGCTGTGTGTGTCTGCTCCAGCGCCGCCCGGGTGGGACACGCCTGCCCCCACGGCCGGCGTCCAGCGGAGGTTAGTCACCGGCGCTCTCCACTGCTCACGCAGACGGGGCTCACGTGCGGGTCTTAAACGCGAAAGCAGACCGGAGGGGATGGCTTCACGGCAAGAGTTCAGACTGAGCCAGACAGGAGTTCTCCTTACGTTCAACAATTTCTCCACAGCGGACGGCTCCACTCGGCCGCCAGGGGCCCCCGCGGGCGCATCTGTCTGATGTTACGAGGTGATGGAAAGATGAAACAAGGTGGTCAGGAAGATGCGCCTGCTCTCACCTTTGAGGGCCCAAACCACAATCTTGAAAAGCCCCATTGAGGCAGCCTGTCCCCTTCTTGCTAGTCAACGGCAGGAACTTCTGAAGACCTTGACATTGGGAACGGAAGCCGCCTTCACGCCAAGCCGTTTCTAATTCCGTCTCCAGAAAAGAAATATTTTTTTTGCTGATAAAACGTAGGCTTTGTTTTTTAAAATCCCAAATAAAACACTTGAGAAGTCCAACTTTCTTTCTTTTAACCACAATACAAATTCCTGAAACTTTATAGATTATAAAAAAAAAAAAAAAAGAAACAAAACCAGGAAGACACGGCTTTTGAGGAAGTAGAGGAAAAACTACATGTTTAAGTTAAGCTGCTAAAAACAAAAGAAAGGGACAAAGGTCCCTTTTAAAAAGGGGTTTTTAGAAAAAAACGCCCGCTGACAAGTGCTTGAGGATCACCGTCCGTTGCCGTAGCCGGGGAAGAGCTGGTTGAGGACGGCCTGCAGCGGCTGGTTTACCTGCATGGAGTAGCTCCGGCCCAGGTCGTAGCGGCAGGCCGGGCAGCTGAACACCTGGGCCCTGAACGATCTGTCCAGGCAGTCCTGCGGGAGAGGGCAGGTGAGAGGCACAGCCTGGCCACCCGTCGGGGGACTCAGGGGCAATCACTGACTCCCCGCGGGAGCTGGAGGCCAGCCCCAGTCTCGCTTTCTGCCCTGTCTGCCTCCCCAGGGGCCCTCTGGTGCCAAACTTATAAGGGCTGCCTGGCCTTTGCACGTGCAGGGCACACCACATGACAGTGTGCACCCCCCCCAACCCCGTTTAGGCCTGGACCCCACTCAGCTCCTCACAGGGGCTTCCCCAGTGCCCCGTGGGCCCAGAAGCAGTCCCACACCATTAGTCCTATCCCCTCACCCTGTCGGTCACCAACACAGCAACTCCACCCTTGGGAATCGTCTGGTTACTACAGTCCTGTGTCACGATGATGTGTTGGTCAACAACGGGCCACACTGATGACAGTCATCCCTACTGGCTGTACTACCTAGCCTAGGTGCAGGAGGGTGTGTAGCAGGGTGTACCATCTTGGTTTGCGTAACTACTCTCAGGACAGCTGAGCCATAAGGAGGTCGCCTAATGATGTGGCCTGTCATTAAGCCGAGTGCAGTGCGCCTGTGAGCCAGGCTGGACATTCCCTGTGGTTCGAGGCTGTCTTTCTGGCACTCCCAGCACAAACACTAAGGACACCTAGTAGGTGCTCAATAAACATACACAGCTGAGAAGGGGAGGAGGAAGGAATGTTGCATCAGAATCCGATTTCTAGGTTCAAACTCAATCCTCAGCCAACTACTGCCGGGTGAAGGCCAGGTAGAAACAGAGCCGTGTGGCTGACAGGTCTGGGGGATCAACTTCCCAACCAGAAAGTCAGGTAGGCAGGAGCCTGGCTGCACATGACCCTTGAAGACCCCTGCCCCGTGCACGCTGCTGCTTTTGCTTCCTACTTTTAAAAACTCCTGAATTCTCTTTTCAGTAGAGGCTCTAGCCTTGATAACAGGAAACAATGATAGTTCTTTCTGCTCAACATGGCTAAGACTCAGGTCCTCTTTCGAAGTCTGGTTCTGGATGGCAGAATGATTCACAATGGCCAAAAGGTAGAAACAAGCCCAGTGTCCAAGGATGGGCGAGGGCTACGCAGAAGGCGGCACAGCCGGTCCGCGGAATACCGGGGAGCCTTAAAGAGGAAATTCTGACCCGTGCTAGGGGGATGAACCTCGAGGGCATGGTCGAGTATCATGTGTCCCGCTCCAGGAGCTCCTTAGAGTCCTATCTGGAGAGACAGGAAGTCGAAGGTGGGTGCCAGGGGCTGGGGGAGGGGGGGCTAGTGTTTGGGGACAGCATTCCAGCTGGGGAAGAGGAGGAAGACGTGGAGACGAGGGCGGGACGGCCGCACAGCAGTGAGCGTGTGCCTAAAGCCACTCCCACTCCGCATTTAACGATGATGATAGCACATTTATAATTTAATAGAGCAAAACATCAGGTGCAGGGACATCTGGGTAGAGCTGCTTTCCCGTAACTCCTCAGATGCTGAGCTCCTGAGAGCCGGGATGACGGTAACGCGGGCAGATGGGACAGACACATAAACGCAGGCACGCCCTCCCCTCCCTGGCTGTGCGGGTGCTTCCGGGCGGGCCAGCCTGACGCCCAGGACCTTCAGTGCCCTGGGGCCCGGCAATCGGCTCCATCTTCACGGAGCCAGCCAGACCTGACCTCCTGCCCGCATGCTGGCCCAGAGCACTCCAGCAGGAGCCTCCCAGGGCCAGAGGCCACTCAAGGTGTCACACACCCCTTTCACCAGGGGCAGCTGAAGCGGAATGGGCAGGTGGCTTTCCCATTCCGCAGCTAGGAGCCAGGGGGAGGCGGCCTGCTGAGCCTAAGAACTCTCACCCCTTCCCAACAAGCCTCTGAGCCTATCCTCAGGGTACACAGAGGTGTATCTCCGCTGTCACACTGCTGGAGGGACTCAGGCCACCAACGGACTAGCTGGACCCAAAGGCGGAATGGCGAAGGGCCTGGAGGCTCAACTCCTCTGTGGTCTGAGTCCCTCCCCCACTGGGCAGACAGGCAGGCTAAAAGCAAAACTTGCAGCAGCTCAGACCAAAGGTGACTGGGAGGTGGGGAGAGACCCTTCTACAGAGGCCGCCTGCCCTGCCCGTCAGTCCCTACTGGCCAGGGGACACTGGAAAGAAACCGCAGATAAACATCAGCATTCAGCATTGCCCAACCAGGCGATTCCACCCGCGGAGACACTGGGCAAAGCCGAACACTAGTGGTGTCACACTGGGGCTGCTCCTGGCATCAGGCTGATGGAGTCAGGGATGCTGCTCAGCACCCCACAGTGCTCAGGGCGCCCCCACCGACGCAAGAGCCGTCTGGTCCCGACGCCAGCAGCGCCGGGGTAAGAGACCACTTGAGTTCCATCCCTGTCACTCCCAACCTGCTGAACCGATCGCTCCCCTCTCACGACGGGCCAACGGCCTGAGCCTGCAACCCCCTGCGTGGCCCAGCTCCGGGCCATTGTTCCCTACCAGCCCCAGTTGCTCCCACCCACCTGCCGTCCAGGCTCCTGCACATCCCATTCTGCCCTCCTAGTCACTTTTTATGACCAGAGGACTAGAGGACAGAGCTGTTGCCCATTCTCGCCATCTGGAGCCCTGGGCAAGCAGAAGGCTGGGAATGTCCAGAGGGGAGGCGAGAGCCAGCCAGTGACCCGATACAGGCAGGTGCCAGCGCACTGAAGGGGCAGCAGAGGGCTGGGGAGGCCCAGGCAGAGTCTGTGATCTATCCCAGTGCACCGAGGAAGCCTGGGAGGGCAGGCACAGGGGAGTGGGACGATGGGAGTCGCTGATAAAGGCCAGCAGGCTGCCAGAAAGCAGACCGCAGAGCCCCGAGCAGGGCCTAAAGCCCAGGGGACAAGCAGAAATGCCGCCGAGTCCAGTCAGCGGCGGCGGCGGGGCCTGGGGCATCTCCACCTTTCCCCCTGGGCTCCTGGGGCCACTTGGGGGCCAGAGCACGCAGCACCCCCTCACCTTGCACACGTTATGCTGACAGACTGTCGTGATCGGGCGGAACACCAGCTCCTGGCAGCAGATGCACTGGAATGTTTCCTCCACTTTGCTCAGGAACTTCTGAAACTAAAGGAGAGCCCACGCATGAGCCAGATAACCACCACCCGCAGGCCCTCCCGCTAGGCACTAGCCCGCCCGACTTACATCCTCCGACCCCCACCCCCAGGAGGCGGGACAGCTGTGATGCCCATTTTGAGAAGAGAAAGAAGAAGCCCGAGGAGGCACAGCTGTGCCCAGGCCCCTCCTCGGGCTGAGACAGGCTGGGGTGATGGCTGGGAGGCCGGGACTAGGTGCAGCCGGCCCCAGTGCACAGCTAGGGTGGGTCAGCTCGACCGTCCGCACCCAGCGATGGGTCAACACAAGAAGCCGCCAATTCTCTTGGAGCCTGGGGCCCAGGGGAAGAGGCCCAAAGCAGGACAGGTGGAGGCCACCCGGCAATGCCAGGGGTCAGAGGAAGCGCCACCAGAGTGTGGCCTGCAGGACACGGGGTGGCTGAATCGCACCCCAAATACACCCGTACCACATCTAGGACCGCGGACAAGTCACCTTACGTGGCACAAGGATCTTTGCAGAGGGGATGAAGTTGAGGCCCCAGAGGTGGGGAGCACCCTGGATTGCCGGGGCCCAGGGTCCCCATGAGGTTCCTTATAGAGGGAGTAAGAGGGTTCGATGCAGAGATAGAAAGAGGCTGTGCTGCTGGCTGTGAGGACAGAGGAAGGGCCTGTGCCAGGAAAGGGGTATCTCTAAGGGCTGGAAAAGGGGCTCCCCGGAGCCTGTGGAGACAGCCAGCCCACACTGGGTCTTACTTCCTGAAGACAGGTGGTAAGTGCTGCAGCCACCGGGGGAAGAGGCTGAGCCAAGGAGGGTGTGCGAGGAAAGACTCAAGGCGGAGGTGGGGGGGGCAAGGCCCAGGAAAGGAATGGCCAGAAAGGGCCCAGCAGGGGAGGACGTTGGCAGTAGCAGCCGGAATGCCCAGGGCTCATGGGCTCGCACTGACTGAGTGAGGCAAGGGCGGTCCGTTCCCACAGCAGAGGACACCGAGCACTGGCTGAGCGACCCCCGTCACTCATCCTGCTCAGGGCAGGGGGTCAAAAAAGACAGCTCCGCCTGGTGGGTTCTCAGCAAGCTGGACACAGTGAGCACAGACCCAGTGACCTGCCTCTGGGAGTGTGCCTGAGACTGAAAGCCGGGGCTCTCGTGCACACGTGTTCAAGCAGCCTGATTCACAATAGCCAGGAGGTGAAAACAACCCGAGTGCTCCTCAGCGGATAGAGAGGTCAGCCCAACGCGGCTCAGCCACAGGGTGGAATATTGCTCAGCCTCGTAAAGGAAATACGGCCACACTGCAACGTGGGCAGACCTCAAAATCGTCGTAAATAGAATAATCCAGACACGAAAGGCCAAAGACCGTGGCTCCACTGTACCAGGTCCCCAGAGGAGTCAAATCCATACACACACAAGTAGATGGCGGGTGGGGGGGGGTGGGCTGTGGCAGGGACAGGAAGAAGTGGGGAGCTCCCATTAGCAGCCATGAGAAAGTCCTGAGGCTGGATGGTGGGGCTGCACGGTGTG